AGGGTTTCTATAGCTTACCAGTTAACTTGTTTGATACTGTTGTTGACTAGTTTGTCTACTAATCATACATTTAGCTGCATGAGTGGACCACTGGACCAAACTAGTCAACAACTGTTTTACAAATTAATCTTGTGGTCAGCACACATGATGCATACTGGTCGACTAGTACTACCTTAAAACTTAACTAGTCAACTATTAAACACTAAATTGGTTTCAGCCAACAAGTGGGCGTAATTTGTGTTGACTAGTTAACATGTTTTGGTTTCTGATGTTTACTAGTAAACTTGGTCAACTGAGTTATTTAATTTAACTACAAGTCATCAATTTTTCTGCATTAGTATCCCAAATGTCATAACTAGTTGACTTTGTCCACCAACTAATGGACCACTGGACCAAACTAGTTAACAACTATGTCTAACAAGTTAACTAGTAAACATGAAAACCCCCAGTATTTTCATGTTTAGCAGTCAACTATTTCAATCTTTAGGATGCACTGTTGATCAGTGGGCTTAATTTGTGTTGACCAGTAAACATGTGAGGGTTTTTTTCTGCTTACTAGTTAACTTGTACGACCCATTGTTAACTAGTTTGGTCCAATGGTCCATTAGTGCACTAACTGTTTTTGTTACTAATTGGGACTTTTGTGCTACTAGTGCAGCAAAATGGATGACTCATATGACTTGTGCTCCAGTGAACGTCATTCTGCTGTGAGGTGGTATCAGTACTCTGGTATCAGAATACTTACGAGTATACATAAGTACATGTACCAATACCCAACATGAGTACAGGTATTGTGCATCTCTGATCTTCAGCGGGGATTTAAAAGTCTTTTTATAGGTATATAAATGTTAGTTAACAGTTATTACGTGTTAAACTTTATTCCATTTGTTTGTATCTTAGTTGCTCGTAGTTATTTCAAAGGACCAAACAGGATATTAGAATCCCCCCCACCCCAGCTCCCTGCTGGTGGGTTCAATGATAATAAGTTCAGGTATAATTTACAGCTCTGGGTTAAAGGCAATAAATGCATGAAGTACTGAGCTGTGCTTATGCAACGCTGACTCATTAGTGATGCTCACCCGGAGTGTTGGCGTTCATCAGCAGCACGCCTTCTGTCCCCTGTAATGCTGCTCCGTGTCTGCCATCCCCGCAGGTGGTGATGAACAATCAGCGCAAGATCATCTGGCCCGGAGGGGAGACCGAGAAACCGCAGGGCTTCCAGATGTCCACTCGATTAAAGGTGGGAGGGGGGACTGCAGTGCAACAGCCACGTCTCCACAGATTTCTGCACCGAAGCTGATGGGCATCACATTTCTCTAACGAAGCAGAGGAGAGTTGCTTTGGGTTCAAATGGCAGCGCTGATTTACTTCCAGCGTGTTTGTTTCCTATCTGCCACAGATTGTGACCATCCACCAGGAGCCATTTGTCTACGTGAAACCCACTCAGCAGGATGGGACATGCAAGGAGGAAATTACATTAAACGGAGTCCTGATTAAAAAGGTCATCTGCACGGGCCCCAATGAGACTATTCCAGGTGAAACATCCCCGTTTTAGAGAGATAGAGGCTGTAGATATCTGAGGCTGTTCATTCTTAAAAATCTTACCGCAAGTGGTCTGCTCTGACATTTCTGTTCACTTTGAACCCCACATTAATGTGGATCGAAGTCACTCGAGCCATATTTTTGTCGAGTTATATCTCGATTAGACGAGCACTTCCTGTGGAAGTGCACTGTACGCGCTGACATCTGTTTTCTACAGCGTCACCGTGAATTTAACAACAACTCTGGGTTTAAATGGGTGGATCAAATGCAACGTAACGCTGCTCAGACTGTTGCCCTCTGATTGACAGCATGTTACAGATTACTGTGATCGCAGCGAGTTCAAAAACAATCAGAACTAACTTTAAGTCGAAGAGAAACTCATCTTTAATGAGTTCTTTATACACAGGACGAAAGGCGGACGTATTTCCATGCATCCATTATTTTTATCTTGTCCCATCCATAACTTCTGATCCACTCGATAATTTAACGTAACTTCACACACATGTGCATCATTACGCCTGTCGTGATAAACAATAAATCAATCGCATGATAAATGAAAATTATCGACCTCGTTTTCATTTATCGGCTTTTTCGTTTGTGTCTCTCTTTCTACTGAAGACACTGGATGACAACAGGTTCAACTCCGGTGCTCTTCACTGACCCCTCACTTTCTCTTTACTCTTTAAAATCTGTTTTAACCATCCAAAATCACTTTTTTTGGATAATTAAAAGCAGCTAAGCTGAGAAGCTAAGCTAACAGGCCGACCTCGGGGGAAAAAAAACCTCCGTCTTGTCGAAGCCCCAAAATTCACGGTTGAAACCTGTGCCTTCGTGTAAAAAGTTGTTTTTCTCTGCAAAAAGAAGCTGAGAACTTGTTTACTGATTTTTTTTATTAAAAGCTTTGTGTAAAAATGCTAAAGAGCTCAAACCACACCGAGCGTCCGCCATTTTGAGAACCGAAAAACAGGAAGGAGAGACGGCCCATGTCACGCCAAGGGGCCTCCCTCCCATTTTTCTTAGAAACACGCTGCTCGCTCCCTCACTGTCCATCCTTCGGTTCAGTCTTATACTGCCGTCCAGTGGTCAAAAAAGAGACTACTCTCAAAAATTACCAACATTTCTTCTTAAATTTAACAATAATAACTAATTATTGTCAAATTTCAAACAATATTATCGTTTATCGCAATAATTTCTGACACAATTAATTGCTCAGTAAATTTGTTATCATGACAGGCCTATGCATCATCACTAGCCAAAGTGTTTTAAACATTTTTCATCAGCCCACCTACAAAGTCAAGGTCACATATCAAGGTCAAATGTGACAAGGTCGTTGCTAGTCCTGGCCATTGCCGTAGGTTGCTGTATAATAGTTTGACGACTGGACTAAAGTTTTGTGCCAGGTACTTTTGTCTGTTTTAGGTTTAATCCCGTTTCTTTGGTTCATTGTGTTCAGTTTGTGTTCCCAGTACTTTTCCACAGTAAGTCCCTCCTCCTCAGGTGTGGCCCCATTCACACCTGTTCCTGGTTCCATTAATCACAGCTGCAGCCACTCTTCCCATCAGTCCATATTATCTATGTTTTCTCATAACCCACCAGTTGAGCATGCTACATGCCTCGTTCGGTCCAATCTGCGGTTGTCTCCTTGTGCTCCATGAGATTTTCTGTAAGCTCTTTCTTTTGGTTTTATACTAAAATAGTTCATTTTCAGGCTCCTCGTGTCAAGTCTGCATCTCCAAATCTCCTGCCAACCGTGACACTTTTAGCATTCTGTGATCCACTTTTATTAATAAAATCCTAACAAAGCAGGCGTTTATATTCAAAAAGATTCAAATGAATAGCTCATCAAAACTTTTTTTAGCTTAAAAAAAACCAAGGCAAACAAAAATGTCGTGTCCTCAGAATATTCCCAAAGGTGACTTGATTTTATTTAATCAATCGTTAGCTGAACAGTCGTTTTTTTTAACCTAAAGAAGTCCACTGTGGTGCTTGTACTGGGTCAAATGGGTTCAGTAGGGGGTCCTACAGTCAGATTCTGTCCAGACTACCAAGTACGTGGATTAAAAGGGTCCAGACCACTTCCAAATGTGGTTTTCGGTGCTCAGTTGGGTTGTTCATTCTGCATTTAGTGATATCCAAATGCCTGAACAACGTCTTTGCTTGCATATATCTTTTCAGAGGTAGTTACTGTTTAGATGCAGGATGGTCTAATAATAATAAAGGTCTAATAAAAATTAAAAAAATCTTCCTTGCCCTTGGTGAAAGTAGACGCTTCCTCCTCCGATCCTTTCCCTGCATCTGCCTGCATGCTGTAAGTAACAGGTCTCTTGTAAATGAGTCTTCGAGGCTCAATGGGAACTAACTTGTATAAATAAAGGTCTAATAATAAAAGATGCAGGATGGGTTTTAAGTGTGCGCTCATTTTGTTCATACGTCTTTCTTTCTTGGCGTTTTTTATTTGAAACCATTGTTGGTTTGCTTACAGGACGCCCGACCGTGCCCCAGTGTTGCTACGGTTTCTGCATCGACCTCCTGATCAAGTTGGCCATGACCATGAACTTTACCTACGAGGTGCATCTGGTGGCTGATGGGAAGTTTGGAACTCAAGAACGGGTACATTTTACACTGAAATCCTTTTTTTAATTACTTTTCTTTTGCATGTGGCGAATTTAGCATGAAATGCGTTTTTTTTTTTTTTTTTGGTACTGTTAGAACAAAAGTGATGCTTTCTTTTTTTTTAAAAACATACAGATGTAAAATGTTCAGAGGATGAAATTTTAGCAGCTGCCAACATTTAACACCCCATTTTATAAAACTGCCTTGTTCTATAATAGGAAGCATCACGTTTGTCACATATAACCCAACCTTTCAGTGCAAAGCTCAAATGGAGCAGCCTTCTACATTTATTGGCCACCTACAAACGCAAGATGGTTATTAATTTATTATTATTAATTTGAAAATGTGCTACTTGCATAGTACAAGGCTACTGACAGAGGAAGTAAATTGACACAAAGATTATTTAAATTGATCAAATAGTTGCGTTACCCCATGATTGCTGTGCAGACATAGGTTAATTTTGGCAACCATCTTGAAAAACAGCTGCCATCTTGGATTTTCATCGTACCAGTTTTGGTGTTTGCATACCAATGTGCACAGTTTTTCTATTATCAGCTCTACTAATTACCTTTTCGTTCATTTACTAACTCTTTAACTAACTAGCCTCCAAATAACACATTCAGTTAACATTTGAAATCATTTCTTGGCACAGATATGAAGTTGTACATTGTCAATTTTTTATTAGCATCAAAGTGAAACTGCTGCTTTTTTCACTACAAAGATAAATTTATTAAAGTATGAAATTTGAGGTGAGCTGAACCTTTTGATTTTGTCCACAACGGTAGTTTTTGTGAACAGTTTTAAACCTTCGTTGTGTTCGGGCTGAATGGGGAGCAGCCACGTGTGAGCGTCTCCTCTCCATCTGGGTTAAGGTTACTGCTGATATCTGCAGAGGAGAAGTGGAGGAACACCGGGTGAACCAAAAATAACCTCCGTCCTTATTCATAATGTATTAAAGCCGACTATCCTGCTGAGAACCTGCAGCAGCAACTCATAAATCACAAAAATGCACAAACAGAAGTACACAGTGAGCTGAAAGACGGGATTTAACCCTGTGAGGAAACATAAACAAGAGGTCCGCAGCTTCACTTTGGAGTTATTTATTCCTTCAGAGACACATTGTTCATTGGTGACATGTTTAACGTTCTCAGGGACAAAGAGAAAGCTTACCTGAAAGATGAACAATGAATGAAAAATAAAATGATGAATGTTTGCTCGTTGAAACCAGGCTGACAAGGTTTTATAGTGAAACTGTTCATGTGAGTTGAATTAGAACAGAGGACGTGACGAAAAAAGGACAACAGTAGAAAGTAGTAGAAAAACGACAGAAACATGGGAGAAAAGGCTGAATAGAGCAGAAACAAGCAGAATAAGCTTAAATAGGCAAAAAAAAAGAAACAGAATTTTTTACAGTTTTTAGTATGTCAGCTGAATGTGTGAGGATGTGCTAGATTTATATAAATTTGGGGGTTGCACAGTTATTTTAAAATTTGTAGAGAGGAAACTGTTTTGTATTTTTATTGTACCTAGATTTTTAAATTGTTAGTATTTTAATGTATAGATTTTATCATATGAATTTGGAGGTTGTTAGGTTGATTACATGAATGTGTAGGCAGGAATACGTAGGTATTCTTACTGTACTTTGATTGATAAATTGTATTTTAATGTGTAGAAATGCCCAACCAGAGACTATAGTTATGAATTAGCTATAGCTACAGTATATACTCTGTGCAACGCATCAGTCACAGACTTGTTCTGTTTTATGTTTGTGTGCATTGTCCCTGTCAAATAAACTAATAATAATAATAAATGAGCACAAAAAATATAAAATTAGCCAATAAGTTGTTGAAAAGGCTAAAAGAATAAATTATCAGAATAGACAGAAAGGAGCATAAAAAGAATCGTAATCAGAATAAGCTTTATTATCATTGTACCGAGACACAGTGAGATTAGAAGTGCACGTTGCTGCTGCTACAGGAGCGCGACACCCATCTTTTTTCAGAATACTTTTTATATAGATAAAAGTAAAAGGCCATGAGGATGGATGGTGGTATTACAAAATGATCTCTTCACACCTTGTCCTATCAGGACACAATGTAAGACATCAAAAACTACCAGCGTTTATAGACGTATTACACATGCAATTGATGTCAAGACGGTGAGATTTAAACGTGACGCACTTCCAGATAGACCATAGTCCTGATAAGATGTTGGTCAGCTGGCAGAATTGGGCAGAAAAGGCAGAATTTAGCAGAAAGAATCTGAAATGAGCATAAAAAATAGCTGAAAAAAGCTAAAATCAGCCCAAAGAAGCAAAAAAATAAAAATGCTGAAACGAGCAGTAAAAGGTTGTAAACAGCTTAAAGGGTTTGAAGGATGCAAACAGAGCTTCGTTCATTTTCAACAAGAAAAACGTGGCCAAAAAAACTCAATATTTCAAAAAGTGAAAATTGCTCAAATAGCCGGAACGTCCCGAATGAGCCGAACGTTTGGTACAAAAAAGAAAAGTGGATCTCGAAGGTGAAAATGTTTTGGAAACATTCACTCAATGAGCCTGAATTATTTATTTCACAAGACTAATAAATAGAAAAATTAAATCTGACGGTGTCTGCTTTAAAAGACGAGAAAAATTTAACTCCAAAAAAATGTATCTCTAAACAACAGCAGGCGAAGAAAGACTAGTACTTCTTGAGGCAATGCATATCACACAGGCTTTCATGCTTAAGGTATACATAATTAAAAGCATCAGCCAGTCTGCTTATAATATGCGTTTTGAATGACTCTCAGCTACTACCATACCAAATTTTAGCTCAATATATGTGAAATTGGACAAGTTATAGCTGGTTTTGTTTGCTAAGGTTGAGTTCTTGAGTTGTGTTGACCCCAAATACTGATCAGTTGTAGATATACATCCAATAATAACTTTTTGAGTGCTTCGTTGAAAATAGTCCAGTGGCTCGTGAGGTATTTTGCTGACAGATAAACAAACAATTACACGTTCTCTTGCCTTTTATGGTGGTTTTTACTAGTAGGGATAAAATTAAAAAATTTAAAAAACAACTTTAGTCGCTGGTTGAATTATTAAAAAACAGAATTGCAAGAGTTGCCTCCCAGGTGGCTCCGCTGTAAAGACTGGGGGTGTTAGCCAGGAGTTGTTCTTTGTTGTCGTGCTCACACTTCGGTTGCTCGTGTTGGGTTTTACTTACCTTCATGTACGATTAGTGAAGCTTCGGTACCAGAATTGTGTTAATGCCACATGTTAGCAGCCAGGAAAGTGCTGCGAGTCATGCATACCGTAGCTTTTTATCAAATGAATAAAAAGCAACCCTTACTCTTTTATCCCCTCTTGGCTTATCCTAAATCCTAAAAGACTGGAAACAGAGTGATATCCGAGTCTTATAAGAGTTCCCTTTTTGTATTTCAGGTGAACAACAGCAACAAGAAAGAGTGGAACGGCATGATGGGCGAGCTGCTGGGAGGCCTGGCTGACATGATTGTTGCCCCGCTGACTATAAACAACGAACGGGCCCAATACATCGAGTTCTCCAAACCCTTTAAATATCAAGGACTCACTATTCTTGTCAAAAAGGTGGGTTGCACAATCGGTCCTAATATAGAAATTAACCTCAGGAGGAATAATACCCACATTTTGCCCGCTTTTATTTTACTGTAGGACTTCTATCATCTAAATAAAAGGATAAAATCTTTCTTGAAACATTTCATGACTGGAATTAGGACTAATACTTCATACCTTTTTAAAGTGACTGAGTTTTGAAAACAAGGATAAATATTTGTGCCACATGGATAAATTTCCCCAAATTGTTAGTCACTAATGGGGTTTTTCACCCAGACCAACCCCAACTTCAAAAAACCCAAAATGGCTGCCCTGCACATGAAAAATTATGGCATGACTGCAGTTTAAAATGTTTTACTTTTGCTTATTTTTATTTGTTAATAAATGTTTTACATGTGGCATTCTATGTCTGCATTTGAACAGTAACAGGTTTTATAAGTTTAGCTAACAGCGACTCTGAGTTAAGCTAACAACAACACAGAGTTCAGC